ATTTTTTCTTTCTTTATTGCCAGAAGGTCTATGTCCTCTCAGAGAAAGACAGAGAGAGGGGAGAGAGGGGAAAACCTCCCCACCACCATGGAACGATCACACTGTGGTCGCTTCATCTCTCCCTCCTCTCAGGACTTCGGCCACACTCACACAGACACCTGGCGTGTTTCTCAACCACTGCGACCAGAACTTGAACTGCACAGCGGGCCATGTGGGATCTAGAAGCCTTAACCACCAGGCCATGGAGTAGGCTCTGTTTTCAGGGCTCCATTTTAATTTGCCAGAGGATGCAAGAATGAGAAAGTCCCCCCTGCTCTGGGGGGAGATGGTCACACAGCAGCCTCCTCTGTTACATGTCTTCTTTCGGGATTTGGGGTACACACACACCTGCTGTGTTTTTCGAGCACACCGGGCCTGGGACTGGAATCACTCAGTTGGCTTTGTGGGATCCAGCCACCTGAGTCTCCATGCCGCTGACTGGCCCTGCAAGCAGCTATTTTGACAGAGTTACAGGCGTCTAGAGCAGCTTACATTCTCCGGCTGTCACCCTGAACTCCTTTTTTGGAATTTAAAAAACCTAAAAAGGGGTTGGTCTCATGGGTCCCACTGCCCACATCCCTGGGCATTCTACCCAGTCGCTGGTTCTCAGCCTGCTCCAGGAAGTAGGACATACAGATCCTTGCTCGTGAAGAGAGGTACATGTATTTTACCTCTCGATGTGGAAGGCCTTTGAATTGGATGGAATTCTGACACTTGTACATTTTTTTTCTAATGATTCCTTTGAACTTGAGAGCCTAAAATAAATAAATGTATTTTCTGTATGATGATAAAGACTTTTAAACGGCATCTAGGTATATAAATACCTTTTCTGTTTAAAGGACTTTGAGCTTGATAGGCTGCTGCAAACTTTCATGCTCTTCGGGCCGTATGATGGTCCTCGACTTTAAATTATATGGTCTTGATGAAGCCGAATCTGATTGGTTATTTCAGTGTGAGCTCATTCTTTGAGAATATGGGAGGGGCCAGGAAGCCAAAAGGTCCTCCTCTGATGGCTTATGCTTCCTCTGAACTAAACTGACATGCAGTTGTCTATTAGAGGTAGGCGTTACATGGGGAGAGGGTGAGAAACCAGCTTTATTATTATTATTATTATTGTTATTATTTTAAATTTTGTTGTAGGGTACATGCACTCACTGGAGACAGCTAGAAAGTGAGAGATCATCCCCCATGGGGGATGACCATGCTGCAATTCCTTCTCCATTTTCCTCTCAGGATTTGGGGTATGAACACACACATGCCTGGTGTGTTTTTCAGGCCACCAGTCCAAACTCCGAACATGTAGTCAGCCATGTGGGATCCAAGCACCTTAATCACCACCCCACCAGCTGGCCCGGAAACAAACTATTACAGTATTTGATCATGGAAGATCTGAGTCAATCCATGCCGCCTATTTTATAGTCTCATTAGTATATGACATTAAGGCCATTGAAAGTAGAGACAATATTCGTGGGAGATATATTTATAACTCATGCTTAGCTTTTATATGTTTTTTACATTACATGTGTGTGTTTAGTCATTGCAGTATTTGTTATGGATAACAGATAGTCTTCACAGTTGATCCAGAAGTTACAGCTCAATGTCAGAGGACTTTATTAATAAAGCAATTCGAGCAGTCACTTACTATACAGTAAAGAGTTCTAGACTCATTTAACATTTATTTCCATTTGCTAGTCAATTACCAGCTGTCAGAGCTTATTAAATATAGTTAATTTGAGTCAGAAGCTGTCACCGCTAAGTGCATGAACTCTTCCCAATCATAGGTAGAGATCTGAAAGAATGATATTAATCACCAACTTACATCTGTCTTCATGATGCTATGAAATTGCCGCTGGCTTCCACGGCTGAAGGGGAGTAAATCAGTGTAGACACCCAGAACGAAGCAGACAGCTGTGAGTCAGGAGTATTTCCATTCACGGTAACAAATTTTCCCTGTTTTCCAGACGGCCAACTTGCCAAAATTTTTATTTTTTACAAATGTAGTTTCTAGGAGTCAGACAGTAGCTCCGAGGTAAAATACAAAGCTCTGAAGGCTGACTCACATGGAGGGATCGGAGTTCACGTCCAGAAACCTCCCTGGGTACTCCCGGCGTGTGTGTGCCCATGACCTTGGGCTGGCTGAGGCTGGAGCTAGACTGTGGCAGCAAGGCTCTTCAGTGATGTCATCTCTCTGCCTCTGTCTCTCTCACACAAGGAAGAAAGAAAGAAACAAACTATTTGACAAATGTACTTTCTGGGGGCCAGCAGGTGGCATAGCTATTAAGGCACTGGATCCCAGCTAGTGGCTCGAGTCCCAGACCTGTTGGCTTGAAAGTCACACTGCCTCTGTGTGTGTGTGTGTGTGTGTGTGTGTGTGTACATGCTCAAAATCCCAAGAGAAGAACAGAGAAAGGACTGCAGCATGGCCATCTCCAAGGGAGGTAGTTTCTCACTTTCTCTTTCTGTATCTCTCCAGCAAGTGCAAGTGCCCTATAGCAAAAACTAAAGGGAAAAAAAAAGTAGTTTCTGGTTATTGCTATTACCAGCTAACATTTATGGAGTATTTATTATATGCCAGACACTAAACTCACAACCTTATTTAATTTTTTAAAAGAATTACTTATTTAATTTTAATTATTATTACTCCTTTTTAAATTTGCTGTAGGGCACATGCACCCACCTGAGAGAGACAGAGTGAGAGTGAAAGTGAGAAAGCAAGCCACCAGGTCTGGGACTCGAACTGTAGACAGCCATGTGGGAGTCCAGTGCCTTACCCACCATACCACTTCTGGCCTCATGAATGAATTATTTTAATCTTGATAAGCCTGTGTGATGTTTGGTGCTTATACTGATGGTTTTTGTAATACCACGTCTTGCATTTTGTAATGAAATGAAGGCTTCAAAGAACTTAAGTAACTTGTTGCCCAAAATGGCAGAGCCTATAATCAAACCCAAACAGTTTAATTCCATAACCTTTGCTCTCGACTGCAACTCTGCACTGCTGGATGGGGTTTGAGAACAGGTAGGTGAATCAGTTAGGAATGCATTTGGATGCAAGTAATTAAAACCCAGCATAGAGTGGTTTACAAGACAGCAATGTCTTTCCTTCTCAGTTCGTAGAAGGAGAGGAGACAGGCCAGTGCTGAACTTTAGTCCTCTGGCAGTGCTCGGACCAGCGCTCGGACTGGTGACTCTCTGACCCTTGTCCTTTCCCTCATGGTAGCAAACATGACTGGTTCTTACAGCCCAGCTACAGAAGAGAAGGAAGAAGAGCCGGCTCTGGCCATACCTAATTATATAATTCATCACACAAGCCTCTGTCTTGTTGGTTAAAATTGTTTCACGTGGCATCCTTATTTGCAAGAGGGGAAGACACCAAGGGAGAGGGGACCTGAGGATGATTGATGGGCCTGTCTGGAGTAAGAAGTTACACCGTCGATGGGCTCTCTAGGAATTTTTCACGTCCTCCTTAACTTCTTTCTTCCTTCTTCCTCCCATCCTTCTTTCTTTTTCTTTTCTTCTTTCCTTTTCTTTTTTGAGAGGAAAAGTTGTGGCTCTCCATATAACTAAACCCTACGGTGTTTGTTCTCGCTTTGTGTTCTAAAATGTGTCCCCACGTAGTATTTTTCCACAGATCGAAGCCGGCATCATTGGCTGCAAGTACGGAAACAAACGCACCCCTGACAAAGTCCATGAATCTCAGTCGTTATTTAACACATATTTATTAAACACTCATTATATTCCAGGCACTCTTCTAGGCTCTGGAGACTTAGCAGTGAATGAAACACTAAAAAAAAAAAAAAAATTTTTTTTGAGAGGTTTTTACTATAGGGCACATGTGCTCTCCAGAAAGACAGAGAAAGACATAGAGACAGAAAGCGAGAAATCACCCCCCAGGGGAGATGGCCACGCCACATTCCCTTCTCCTCCATTCTCTTCTTGGGATCTTGGGCACGCACCTGGCATGGGCTTAAGCCACCGGGTCCGGGATTCAAACCGCAGTCGACTACATGGGAGTCAGCATCATACCCATTATGCCAACTGCTGGTCCTAACACTAAAAAAAAATTTAAAGAGTGAACAAGAGAGTGTGAGAATCCCCTGGAATTGAAAGATAGGGATGCAGCAGTGCCTTGCAGAGAAGACAGAAACCCAGACTGCTCTTTCGAGCCTGTTCCTCTCCTCTCTCTTCTGTCGCCTCTTCTACGTAGTGGGCAGGACGTGGTCACTCCACATAGCCTGAGTGTTCATCTTCCTTGCAAGTAAACAACTCACGCTGAACCTCAGTCGCTGAGTCCAAGTTCTGGAAAGCTTAGCAAAAGAACTGGACCCGTCTGAGGCAGAGACAGCCTTACTCCTGCGGGTGACAGGTGTAGTTACAAGGTTACTGAGTGGAGTGGACACTGGCTCTCAAAAGGTGTGTCTGCCTCCCAAAGCTTTCTATCACCACTGCCCTTCTCCAGCCTCATGGATGCTTTTGTGGATACTGTGCCCATCATGTTCCCCAAAGCTCCCGCCTGCCACCCCAGGAGGTTGAAGACGAGCTCTGTCTCAGAGAGCACATTTGTGTAGCTCTGCAAACATTGCCTGGGTCAAGGTTATTTTGCACTTTTGCAAATCACCTTGGCGCCTTAATGTGGTATTTTGTTTTTGTTTTTGTTTTCCCACACACAGCCATGTCCCTGTCCTCCAGGTTAACGGGAGACACCTGAGGCTTGGTTAGCATCAAACTCCCTTCTCAATCCAGGCCAAGCCCTTTGAGGCAAACACTGTCACTCCGCTTGGTTCCAAAGTGCGCCTTACAGCTTGGGTCCGATCTTCCTTTATGACCCTTGTAAATTATAAGCTACTGAGATATACGTTGGGGATGTTTTTGAAGCTTTCTCTTTGTTTCAAACCAATGGGTGTTTTTGCACACCAGGATTAAACGAATCACTGACATGTGGCTAATCTGTTTTTCTGCAGGCTGAGGGTTCTCTTCCACGAGAAGGAGGATGGGCAGGCTGGGGCTCCTGGGGCAAATCTCTGCTGTCCTCAGCATCAGCCACAGTGGGTAAGCATTAGCTATCTCATGGACTCAAGTTCGGAAGCCTAAGAGGATGTGACATTTTGATTGTACCCTTGTACTGATAGAATTTAACATTAGCCAGTGAGCAAGCCCTGTTCGTGCTTCCTGTTCCAGCTGCTTCGTATATATGAGTGCGTTTGTTCAGAGATGTAGACCTTGTTCAAAGTTAGAAATACCTGGGTTTGAAATTTCAAAAGCATGTATGGCTTTTAACCACTGTATTACATTGGCTCTTCAAATCTAAGCTTTGGGTTTTGAGGACCAGCAGTTGGCATAATGGCTATGTCACTGGACTCCCATGTAGTTGACCACAGTTCAAGTCCCAGACCCAGTGGCTTAAACTCACACCAGGCGCATGTGCATGCATGCCCAAGATCCCGAGAGGAGAATGGAGGAGAAGGGATTGTGGCATGGCCATCCCCCCTGGGGAATGATTTCTCGCTTTCTGTCTCTCTGTCTCTCTCTGTCTCTCTGGCAAGTGCACGCACCCTATAGCAAAAACCTCTCCCCCCCCAAAAAAAAAATTAGAATAAAGTTCAGTACACCCTCTTGTCCTGGTTTCTGTTGGTGTGTGAGAAATTACCACAATCGAGGGTTGGAATAACCTACCTTTATTACTTTACGGTTTCCATGGATCAAGAGTCCGAATAAGAGATAGTTGCTTGGTGTCCGGCCAGGGTGCAGTCCAGGTGTCTGCATCTGTGTTTAAATCCGAGGCTTGCCTTTGATTGAGTCAGCCTAGTGGCTGTCACGGGCAGAGAGGGTAAACAGCTAGGAGGGGGCCCAGAGGAGAGGACGAGGCCTGTAGCTCTGCAGCTGCCAACCTAGCACCTCTGCTTTGAAGGCATCATCGTTCCCTACAGTTGGAGGACTCTGGTCCCCACTTCCTTGCTGGTTATTGACCAGGGGTTTCTCCCACCTCCTAGAGGTTGCCCTTAAGTCCTCCTTCAAAGGCAGCAGGATAATCTCCCTGGTGCTTCATCTCTATCTTCAGGAAAGCTCAGTCCTTTTTACTTTATTTTCTTAGTTCTTGCTACAGGGCTCATGCACTCACTAGAGAGAGACAGAGAGAAACAGAGGGAGAGACAGTGAGCATTCACCCCTCAGAAGGGGTGGCTGTGCTATAATCCATTCTGCTCTTGGGACTTTGGACACCTGCATGTTTTTCAAGGCTCTAAGTCCAGGTCCCAAAATGCGCATTGGCCATGTGGGATCCAGCTGCTTTAACCATCACATCACCTACCTGGCCCTGGCCTAGTGCCTTTTAAAGGGTTACCTGATGGGGCCAGCAGGTGGCATGGTGGTTAAGGCGCTGGACTCCCACATGCCTGACGATGGCAACTTGAAGATGACATCAATCACATGTGTGTGTCTGTGCCTCAAATCCCAGGAGGAGAATGGAGGAGAAGGGATTGTGGCATGGCCATTCCCCCTGGGGGTGATTCCTGGCTTTCTGTCTCTCTCTCTCTGTCTCTCTGGCTTATGCACATACCCTATAGCAAAAATATCTCTCTCTGAAAAATAAAAATGGGTTTCAAATTTTCTTGCACTAAACTCATATTTTAATGCATTTTCTCTTAATGCTTCTAAAAGAAGTGTTTTTGTGGACCTGATACAGAACTCAAACAGCCATGGACCAGGCTCATGGCCTGAAATAGGCTGGAATGGGGCTCAACCATCTGTGAACGAAGGCTTTAGATGTTACAGGTTTGAAAAACCATGCTGGACCCCATAAATACATAAAAGAGGTACACATGCTCACCAAAGAGAGAGAAAGAGAGAAGGAGAGGAGAAAACACCCCCGGGGGTGGTGGTGGTGGTGGTCATGCTGCCCTCCGTTCTCCTCTATCTCTCCCTCCTTTCAGGATTATAGGCACACATGCACATGTGCCTAGAACGTCAAGTTGCTGGGTCTGGGACTCGAACCACCGTCAGCCATGTGAGATGTAGCTGCCTTAACTACCAGGCCCTGGGGTCAACCAATAATTTTTTACTAAGAAAATAATTAATAAAGGAGGTTATTGACGACAGCAAACAAACTCAACTAAATAAAAGGTGTTCTTTTTAGGGGGGAAATCGTTCTGGGTGCCTCCCTGGAGTGTGGTCTATTTTGGGCTCTCCGCACAACCTCTGTAATGTTCAGGTATGATACCCACCCCAGGGCTTGGCAGCATGAGCAGTTTATTATCATAGGGCAAAGAAACTTATTGGAAAACAGGGCACTCACAGCAGTAGCCCGGCTCTTGAAGGTTTATAAATTGCCTGTGAAAAGTACAGAGAGAAAAATCACCACAGGTTCAATTGCGATTGATTTCCACTCAGAAACCTCATGTCACCCCCAGGGTAATTCCAGTTGCAGACATGTGTGCAAAGCACACCCTCCTTAACAAAACACCAAGCCGTCAACTGAGCACTAGAAATAGAAACCAATATTTCTTAAAAGGGTTGAAAACTGCAGTCGCGATGGTTAGAACTGTTTAGCGTCGGCAGGAGAGAAATCGGAGGCTAGAAATACTTGGGAGGCAGTTCTCCTTAGAGAAGAAGTCCTGAGATCTGGTCCTGAGTGCCATGAATTTGGGATCACAAGAGACTGTCCCTAACTAGCTACGTCACACACTTACCCTCTCTGAACTCAGATTCTTTGGAAGAGTGGGGGTGAGCGAACTCCAGAAATTCCAAGATTCCTCCCAATTTCAGATTCCTCCCAATTTTCAGAATCTGAAGATCCTGAACTCCATGGCTGTGTGTAGAAGGAGAAAGGTATTTGTAACCACTGTGCTAAGTGAGAAAATACAAAAAAATTGATTGGCTTTTTTGTTTCTCTGTATTTTTTATTGTAATTTATGATTTACATATAAGCATTACACATCTCTATAGGGTTTAGAATGGTCTTTAAAAGCATGTATACAGGGGCCAGCAGGTGGCTTGGCGGTTGAGGTGCTGGACTCCCACACAGCCAACTGTAGTTCGAGTCCTTGATCCAGCAGTTTGAAAATCACTTTGGTCATATGTATGTGTGCGCCCAAAATCCCAAGAGGAACATGGAGGAGAAGGAATTGCTACATGGCCGTTCCCACTGGGAGGTGATTTCTCACTTTCCCTCTCTGTCTCTCTCTCTGGTGAGTGCTCACACTCTATGGCAAAAACAAAAACAAAAAGTCATGTAAACAGTATATGATAAACAAGTTGAGGATATAAACATATTCACAACCTTCAACACTTAATTTTATATTATGTTGTGAACATTCAAAACCTACGTCGCTGGTAATTCTAGAACTACGTATTCAATTGTCTGTGACATACTCTACTATGAAACATAGTTCTAAAGAAAAAACAAAGTGATTAGAAATCGAGTAACAACAAGTCTCATAAATTAATGAGGTGGATTTTTTTTTTAAAAAAAAAGAAATATAACTTTAACATACCCAGTGAAAGAAGAATTTGCAATTTCTAGGTAGAGGACTGTGGGAGACATGAGTTTATATTCTAAAAACATCTATGATATCCTTGATCCAGTTAGAGATGGGTAAAACTGTACATAACAATAGCTCAATTAGGAAGCGATAGGAAAAGAGTTTCTCCCTCTTTTTATATCTTTTCTTTCTGCCTCACTGCTTTGACCCGGAGATTAAGAGGAAAATGAGAAAAAGTGATCGTAATGCGTAATGTGAGGTAAGACACTTCTCAGGAAGCAGTTCTTATTGGAGAGACTTCAACTCTTGCAGTCCTCTCATCCATGCCTCACTGTCATCCCATTCTAAGAAAATGACCACTTGGGGCCAGCAGGTGGCGTGGTAGTTAAAGGCGCTGGATTCCCACATGGCCAACTGCAGTTTGAGTCCCGGACCTGGTGGCTAGTGTCTCACTTTCCCTCTTTCCCATTCTCTCTCTCTTTCATGCTCGCTTGCTCTGTCCCTCTCTAATCAAATTAAAATAAATGAAGAAATCATTTTTTTAAAAAATAAAACTTGGATCACTTGGCCTTTGAACAAGTTCTTAAATATATAGTAAAAGTGGTTCTTCTTCCAAGCAGAAACCAAAAGCAATATAAAAATAAATAAATAGATGATAAGAAAAATAAATGATCATTTCAAAGTGATATTGGGTGGACCAGCTATGAGTTCCCCCAAACAGCTTACAGACCTGACTTATTTCTAAAGTATGTTGCTAAGCTAAGAGTGATGGACCAATAATCAAAGTGTATATAGACACTACTGAAGCATGCACAAATATACCAAAGTAAAAGATCTAAAATACAATAGAGCAGTTTATTTCTGGACACTACCAAAGGCCTAAATGTTTATTTGAAATTCTAGCTTAATGAGTCCGAATGCCTACAGAGAGTACCTGAGGAGGGTGAGTATTGGAATGTATCTTATCTGTATATTTATTTTTTCACGATTTCAATTGTTCCCCTCCTTTCCTATCCTCTCCCAAATTACACAATTTTTTTTACTTGTGCACATTTTAATGAACCCCTTCCACCAGCCCTGTCAAAAATAATGACAATGTTTGTTATCGAGAATAGCAAACCTGTCAAAATGGTACTGCAATGACAGCTCTTCACTGCAGAAATCATTATCAGTCGTGTCTGGCTTCATTTTTGAAGGTGACATTGATGATGATGTGAAAATTCTCAAGGCTCATTGATATAAAGGATAATAGGATTCATGCTTGGAGTTTGTCTACAAACCTTTACAATCTATAAATAAGACACAGGGTTAAATTTCTGCAGGACTGCTAGACAAACATTAGCAATTCGGTTATACTTCATCTGTTACAGAGTAGAGTAGACATCAACCATCATCATGGAGGGGGAAGACTCTTCTTATTTATTTATTTATTTATTTTTGGAGAGGTTTTTGCTATAGGGCATGTGTGCCCACCAGAAAGACAGAGAGATACAGAGAGACAGAAAGTGAGAAATCACCTCCCCAGGGAGAATGGCCACACCGCAATCCTTTCTCTTCCATTCTCCTCTTTGG